CGATGTGGTGCTTCCATGTGCGTGTGCGTGTGTACGTTGATCACTATGTGTGTGTGTTGATTTCGCTAGTCAGGTGGAAACAAGACAACAGCAGAGACTCGTTCGGTGTCATGTGTGCGTGTCTGTGTCTGCGTGTGTGTCGGTCAGAGAGCGTGTGTGTTCATCCATCGGATCGGATGTCTTCGGTCAATGATCGATCGGTCGCTCGTTGGAAACTCGGCTCACCAGAAATATCCCCATCCATCCATCCATGTCATCCCCTACTTGTTCCTCTCTCCTAGCTGCTCATGTCATATTTCCCTCACCAAACAAGCTCCTCACTGCTGCAAACAACAAACCACTCTCAGCCCAGCTGACTTCACTTGGCAGGCAGGCGAAATGAAACGAACCAGGACGTGCAATCAGTGTATGGTGTATGGATGATGGGAGGGAAGAAGCCTTCCTTCACATGGCGATTCCCTTGGGGTGCGCCTCCTTCTTGAATGAGTCGTAGAACTCCCGCACCGATATCTTGCCGTCATTGTTGTAGTCCTGCACACAACCACACACACACATGTGGGTGGGGTGTGGCGTGCATTGAATGAGTACAGGTGCCTGGTTGGTTTGCTCACCAGGTTGGCGAAGAGCTTCTCCTCGTCTTCAGGCTGACCACGGACGGCCACACAAGTAGCGAGTGGCACATAACAATCCAGACAGACAGACACCCACCCGTCAACCAGCTCACCCGCATGAAGATGCCGCATTTCTGAAGGAATGCGTGGAACTCCTGCAGGCACCCCCCCATCGATGGCATGGAAGGCAGAAACAAACACACGCCCACACTCCATTTGATCCACACATGTATGTCTCCTTAACTGACTGTCCCTCTCTGCATGTATTGAGCTCCTCACTTGTTCGTCTATTTTCGCGTCGAGGTTGTCGTTGAATCCCAGGTAGGCCGACTGGATGCTCATGAACCGCTCGTGTATCTTGGACCACAACAATATCGTCGCTGAATGAATGCAACCAAAGAAACAACCAAACAACACCGCCAGGCACACGCAGAGAGAGACATGATTCCAATGCTCTTGTTTGTGGGCGATGGATGCACCAGTCTCTATGTCGAGGAATCCCCCGTCTTTGGGGGGCGTGATCCATCTTGGTCTGAAGCGGTCAATCAACCCACACCCAGTCGTGGCCGTCATGTCCTGAAACTCCTGCAGGGAGAGGCGAACAGACAAGTGACATCAATCGTGTCAGGCCCTCCGCCTCCGCTGCGTGTGATCTGGCTGACCGGCCAGGAGACGACCCCGTCTTTGTCTTGGTCGAAGAGCTCGAAGAGGTCTCTTATGAGAGAGGGTCGAGAGAGCTCGCCCAGCACCAGGGACACGGCGTGTGAGAAGTCCTCGTACGTCATGTAGCCGTCGTATTTGCCCTTCAAATGCCTGCGCACACGTGGATGGAGGAATGGGGCGATGCGATGGCTGGCGTATGGGGGGCCGGCATGGCTGCTTACTTGAACGCCTCACGGATGTTGTGGTACCTGCAACACACATAGGGTGTAAGTAAGAGAATGGGAAGGAAAATGGGAAGAGAATGGTCGCGTCAGCCGGTCACTTGTTATCGATTTTGTTGCGCCACGTGCTGCAACGCAGACAGACCGATAAGTCGTTTGTGTCCATTCCCCCCAATGGCAAAAAGACCTACTTGAGGGCCTCAACGAGCTCCACGTTCTCCAGAGGCCCCACGCGCGGCGAACCCACCATCTGACCCCGGGCTGCAAACAGGGCGAATGCCAGGATGTGTGGAGAAAGAACGAGTGAGGGCCTTGTGTGTTCTTGCTCACAACTGGGGGAGGGGTCATAGGGAAGAGGACCTGCAGCCATACACACACAAGGAAGGAAGGGCCGACGATGTTGCCGTGTCTTGGATGGATGAATGCAGCATTATCCCGGTTTGCCTGTGAGCCCGGGGTGCTCAAACTTGGGCGGCACGACCTTCGGCATGGCTTTCAGCAGGCAGAGGGAACCTGGGGAGAGAGGGGAGGGCCGGGAATGCGAGCTGCGGGGGGCGCGTTTGGAATTGGGTCCCCTCGCAGATCTTGAGCTCCATGAGTGCAACGAAGGAAGCGGTTGTGTCGTCTTTGCTCCGGAAGGCCAAGACCCGGAAGGGCAAGCGGATCCTGGAGGCCAAGGAGCCTCAGGTCCACGAAGATGCCAAGGTGAGTGAGCCAGGGGATGAGTAGGCAGATATATGAGCAGATCAGTGGACAAGGAGAGATGCTGGACATCGCATTCCCTCCTCACCGTCAGATCTCCCTGTTTGTGTGGTTGGGTTGTGTGTGTCTTGCATGTCTGTCAGAGAGTGTTGCTGATGAAGGGCAATCGGGCAGGCCTCGACGTCCAGCAGCTGCTGGCCGATCTGGTGGGCATGGACACACTCACCATGACAACCCCTGCATGCCATGCGCCTGTGTGTGTGTGTCAGCACGACCTGTTGAAGCCAGAGTGCGTGTACCTCTCCCGACGGCACCAGGGCTTCCACCCCTTCGAGGACATTTCGTCAGCCGAGTACCTGTGCGAGAAGAACGACTGCGGAATCTTCCTACTTGGGTGAGTCAGTGAGTGGGCAGGCGGCCAGTGGATGGATCTGCCGGTGTGTGTGTGTCAGGTCAACGTCCAAGAAGCGTCCGTTCCGTCTGGTTGTGGGTCGCATCTTTGACAAGACGCTGCTGGACATGCTGGAGCTGAGCATACAGAAGTACAAGCCGTCCTCACACAAAGACTTTAAGGCAAGCACCCTCTAGCGAAAGAGCCATTCACGGCTCGCCTGTGTTGTGTTGTGTTCATGTGTTCAGGGTGTAGAGCCCTGCAAGCTTGGATCAAAGCCACTCATCCTTGTGCAAGGTAAAACGGGAGCAGACAGATCCAGGCTATGCGATGAGTGCCAGTGTCATCCATCCATCCATCCATGTGTGTATGCGGTTGTGTGTGCAGGTCCTGCCTTTGAGGCCAGTGAGACGATGGGCACGGCCAAGAACCTGCTCACAGGTCAGTAGTCTATCAGCCAAGGAGAGGACGGACGGACGGAGGGATTGGCATTCGCTCATTGTGGGTGGATGCTTTATTTGCTCTGCAGACCTCTTCAACAGAGGACGACCGAAGGAGCTCCTGCTGGGAGGGTACGCACTCACCCATCATTCATTACAAACATAGCCCAGACACACTCCATATGTTACGCGTGTGTGTCTATGGGTGTGTGTGTGTGTGCAGACTTGACCATCTGATCGTCCTGTCAGCCCTCGACCACCAGCATTCGTCTGCCGCCCTGCCCCCCTCCCTCTCGTCGTCCATCGAACAGGCGCCAGACAGCCTCAGCGCCCGCCTGCTGAGCGGCCCGGCGCCCTCATCTGCTGGTGGGGCATCCCGCAGCACACCCATACTCTTCCAGCACTTTCGCGTCAACTTCAAAAAGTCCGACAGCAAGGTGAGGTGCGAATGGATGGCATGGAGGGGGCAGGGAGTGAGGTGGGTGGATGGCTGTGTTGTGTTGTGTTGTGTTGTTCCCATGCTCAGTTGCCTCATGTTGAGTTGGTTGAGATGGGTCCGTCGTTCGAGATGACCATCGACAGGCACCAGATGGCCGACAAAGACAGGTAGGGATAGGGACAGGCGGTGGGCACGGACGGACATACACACACGCCCACTCCTGCTGCTGGCCGTTCCATCCACATGGATGGATGGATGGATGTGCGTGTGTGCGTACAGGTGGCGCACGGCCGTCAAGGTTCCCAAGGAGGTCAAACCCAAGAAAGTCAAAAACGTCTCCACAAGTGAGTGACCCAACACACACACGCTCACACATGCTCCGTATGAGCACACACAGCCATGTCTGTCTGTCTGTGTGTCTGTGAATGGGTGTAGGTGTGTTGGGTGAGAAGCGGGGTCGCATCCACGTGGGTGTGCAGGATCTGTCCCGCCTACACACACCCCACCACCACGGAGACGCCGGCAAGCGGCCCACCAAGAGGAGAAAGACAGACACAGCTGAGCCAGAGGCGGACACCGCCACATAGCGATGCGTCAGGTGTGACGGACGGCAGTCGACAATGTCGTCCGTCATCTCTGCAGCCTTGCTGCGTGGCACGGCGCCTCGTGGCTGTGTGTCTGTGTGTGGATATGTGTCATGGGGATCTGACTAACATGAGGACATCTCATGAAGCGATTTCGCCACGGTGTGGAACAAATTGTGTGTCTCAATTCAGCTGGTGGTTTATGCACATCCATACGTTATTGGTTTATGCACACACATACGGATGCTGTCCATCGTGCATCAAGTCAGGTTTGCGACAAGGCCAAATCAAAACTGCCCGTTTGTTTCTGGTCCCTCCCTGTTGAGGCCGCTTGGTTGGCTCCTGGCGACGTCAGACCTTGCACACTGATCAGTGTACAAGGTCCGCCATCACCAGCACCCAACCTAAGCGGCGTGAACATCAAACAAGGACAAAACAAACACAATAGGCATGGCTGTTAACCCTCGGCAGGCAAAAATCGATACAATACCCTCACGTCGTCCCCTGCGTTTCTTCCTCTTGTGCGTCGCCTCCCTCCTGATCCCCATCGCATGAGCGCCACCCCATCAGCGTCTCGAGAGTCGACCCCTCCAGCGGATCAGCCACGAAGTCAGCAACCGAACCTGAACCAACAGATATGGGCAATGGTCCATGTCTGTGTGTGTGTGTGTACGCGTGGGCGTGTGGCGCACCCAGGACAGATTCCTCGAGGTCGTCTTCGTCCACATGTTCCTGCTGCAGCATCTCAATGTAGCGGAAGCTGTTGAACCGCTCCTCAGGCAGATGCACCGTGTCCGTCGCCTCCAACTCGCTGTCCGCGTCGCTCCTCGACCTGCTCTCGCGACGAACGCCTTGCAACACGGTGGTGCTGTCAGCCTCATCAGGGACGCCCTCCTGCCCGCCGAACGGGACGATGCCCGCGCTCTCCGCGCGGTGCCTGACGTCATGCTGCTGCGAGTCGAGCATGCGCTTGAACAGACACCATTTGGAGGGGCTTTCCCTCTCGGCCAGGTAGGACGACAGAGCGCTCCCGACCTCGGCTGAGGGTGGTGGTGCCCACTCCCTCCTCTCTTCGCCACTGCTGCTGTCGATGGACGACGCATGGCTGAGCTGATGTGCGGTGGAAGGGGGCGGGGGCGGGGGCGGGGGCTGGGAGGGTGCAGCAGCAGCGGCATCAGCATCACTGGCTGCGGCTGGCTCGAAGGCCGGCCGGTTGTGCGCGAGGTTGCGCAGCCGCGTGACGGTTGATGCGTGGAGGATGGAGAGGGACTGGTGGAGGCATGTGTTGTCGACGGTCGGGAGGGCGAGTCGGTGTGCGGACGAGAGAAGGTGGTGCTGGATCTGACGGATGGCCGGCAGGTGGCCGATGTACTTGTTCTGCTTCGGGTCTAGCGTCATGTTCTTGCCGCGAACTTGAAACCTGACCACACACGCACAAGTGGATGGGTGGGATGCATGTGGGCATGCAAGTACGGATGTGGTGTGCTGTGTGTACCTGCCCATGTGTCGCTCTTCGTCTTCGATGAACACCAGGAAGGGCACACAGGCCGCGTGTTTCCTGCAGAGCTCCACCATGAAGTCCACCGTCAGGTGCACCCCCTCCACAATGACGCTCTCCCTCTCACGCACAAAACCCGCCACAAACGTCTCAACGAACTCTGACACCATGGCACTCTGCAAGAGGTAGCCCTTCAGCACCCGCTCCGCCTTGCTCAGCCCCTCGGACTCGTCCACATGGTCGCCGGCATTGTAGGTCGACGCATACAGGATGGGGTTCTCCTTCTTGGTGTAGAAGTGCCGCGCTGCGTGGCGGATCGAGTCGGTCGCCAGCACAGTGGCGATCTGCAGCTGGTTGGCCAGGTGGAAGGCCAGCGTCGACTTGCCCGTCCCCGGCACCCCCGCAATCAGGATGATGGCGCTCCGCCGTCTCGTCGCCAGCTGGCTGGCGATGGCCAGGTCCAGCAGCATGTGGGAGTGGAAGTACTCGAAGCTCCGCAAAGCGAACTGCAGCAGCCGGAGGAAAGTGAGGGTCTTGAGTGTGTTGGAGACGGTGGCCAGGGGGTGGTCGGGCGGGAGGGAGGGGCGCCACCGCGGCGATGGGCCCCATGAGGCGTCCGACTGGCTGGGGGAGGAGGGGGCCTCTGACTCGCCCTGTGTGGAGGGGGAGTTGGCGAAGTACGTCGACGGGTTGAATACCTTGTGCAGCACCTCTGCCAGGAACAAGACTATCGCGTGTGCATCAGGCGGCCTGCACGCAGGTTAACACCACGCCGTGGCACACAGACAGACAGACAGACAGACAGACAGACGATGCCATGATCCACCCACCGCTCGGCTCTCTGTGTGTTGCCATTTGGTTCATCTGTTTATCGTCTTGTCTTGACTGACCTGCATCCGACCATGAGGAGTGTCTGCCTGAGCTGCAGCGGGTTGATTTGCACAGTCGTCCCCGTCAGCAGATCCCGCACCGATATCGCCCGCCGAATGCCCAAGATGTCCTGACGGATCTTCTTGAGCACCTGATCAACCAACATACACACACACACAGAGCCACAAGAACATACACGCACACACACAGTCATGTTGCCACAGGTCGTCTGTGTGTCTATGATGTCTGGATCTGTCCATCCACTGACCGTTTCCTCATCGAGGGCCTCGTGTGGCGACTCTGCGACCTCCATGAGCGAGGCATCAAGCACCACATACACCTCTGGGAACTCTAGATACACTGAGGGGGCGCGGGGCAGGGACGGCGTGAAGGCTGAGGTGGGGATGCCGTCGTTGGATGAGGACCCTCTGCGCCGCAAAGGGGCGGTGGAGATGGATGCGTCTGCGTCGGAGCTTGACATTCAGATGAAGGAGATCAGAATAGAGGAGGCCGTCAGGTACTCATCTCTCGGCTGCTGCTGCTCTAGCGCTTCTCCCTTTTATGTGCTCACGCCGTGCTTTAGAGCGGAGACAGTTACACGCGTTAGATCTACGAGACACGAGTCTGTGACTGTGGACCCAAGGTTGGTCATTCCGCAGTATATATCAGTCCGAGTTTGCAGCGGACAGACAGCATCAAACAGCATCCCACGGAATGTCATGCAGACCCATGGATTGATTAAGGCGTAAGTGGCTTTCTGGTCTATACAGGAAGGATGGATGGCTGTGTCTCGTCTCGGTAAGACGGTGTCCATCAATCACATCAATCAATCAGTCACTCCCCATGCAATAAATGCATCAGTGAATGAATGAATCCACGCCATCCATGCATTATTGTTCTATCTACCAGGTGGGTGAGGTGGCTTTGTTTAAACTCATCAACACACATACCATACAGCACACCAGCAGAGTGGAGTGGAGTGGCGTGGCGGCAGTGAGTGGCCTGGCGTGGCATGGCGCGCACATGAATACGCAGACAGACAGACAGACAGACAGACAGACAGACAGACATACGAACGGACCCACACCCGCCCCACGTGTGTGCTGGTGCGGCACAATGGAACACACGCACACGCACACGCACTCCAGAGGGACCTCTCTGAGCTGGGTGGTGTGGGCTGCCGAGTCTGTCGGGCCTGCCAGCGTACGTCATGTGCACCATGCAAATCTCCACACATCCCTGCCTGCCTCGAGGGTGTGTGGAGATTCGCGTGACACAAGCAGCCTAGCCTGCTGCCACTGCCGACAGAAGCCCAACCCTGACACACTCAACAATATCGCAATTCACCTCGCCCCGGGCAGCCGTAACCGCACACCAATCTGCTCAACAAATGCATGGATAGACGACACACACACACACACCATCAGACAGTGCACACCCCTTGGCCTCCCTCCTCGCTGGCCCACCTGGAATTTCTCGAGTGCGTCGGATGTGTATCGCCTCCATGGCCATGCGTAGGTGACCTCGAGGACGCCGGGGATGACCGGCAGGGGCACAGTGAAGCCCACCCCGCTGCTCACACGGGTCTCCTGGAAGAGACGCGACAGCGACGCACCTGCACGCATCCATCCATCCATCCAACGGGCATTCAGTGCGTGCAGAGGACAATTGCTGTTGGCGCTTTACGTGAGAGGTCCTCCACCACGTTGCCCGCCTGCGTGAAGCCTATCACACGCAAACTGACCCAGTGACACACACACACACACACAGAGAGAGAGAGAGAGAGGGAGGGGAATGGTGGCGTGTTGTGCGCTGTGTGCTGTATATATTCCGTTCCGTTGGCTGGTCACCCGATGTTCTGTGTGACGTTGAATGGCGGCAGGTATGACAGCAGCGCAGAGGCGCCGTAGAAGACGTTCCCACCCACATAGTCATACTCCTGACACACACACAGATGGCTGGCTGGCTGTGTGGTGGCTGCGCATCGCATCGCACTCACCCGTCTCAGTTTGGTGCTGATGGCCTTGCCGCCCTTGGACTCGCCAGCTGCTGCTGCTGCTGCTGGTGCCACCAGTGACGAGCCAGGCTTCGGACAGATGCCTGATTGATTGATGGACACATCAAATCGATCGATCCATCCATCAGTGTGATTTCTTCCCCCTGTGCGTGTTTGTGTGTTGCTGGCCGACACGTACGCACATACATGGGTCAGCGGGTCCCACTCCCCGGTATGCAAAGCCTTTCAGGTAGGTCGGCGCACCCGCACCCTCTCCTAAAAGCCATGCCATGCCACACACATCACACCACAACACATCACACGACACACACGAGACCATGTTGGTTGGTGTCTGGTATGGACGGCCAGACAGCCCAGCCCCCCTGGCACGGCTTACACACCGAGGTAGAATCTGTCCTGTATTGGCGATGCGTCTGTTCCGATCGGATAGAGAGCCCCGCCAGACACAGACGCATTCAGGACCTGATTGATACACACACACACACACACACGCACATGCATAAGAAAACGAAATGGCGACTGTCAAGTGTCAACTGAGTAAGCAGGTCGTGGGAGTGCACCGACCAGTCTGTCCCTGTCAGGCAGCAGCGACCTGTAGAAGGACAGACCCGCCTCAGCCCTGACGTACCGAACATCGCCCAGCAGACCCGCATACTCCTGCACACACACATGAACACGCAATGGTGTCTGGTCTCTCTCCTTCATCTCTCTGTGTCTGTCTCTCAGTGTGTGGTGCATCGATGTCTGACCAGTGCCATGTGTCGTGTGTGTCCGTCGACGGGCATTCCGCCCGCGGCGACGTCCTGCGTCCTGTCGTCGGTGTACTCGTACTTGACACTCGACTTGAGAGACCGCAGACGGCTGCACAACACGCTGCACACACCCACCCACACACACACAGAGAATGATACACACATGTACCATGGTGCTTGGTGTGGTGTGGGGGTGGCAGTTCTTCCTTCCCTCACGCGTATGATGCGCTCCTGCCGGCGTCCTTGTCCGGCAAGATGTCACGGAGACCCAAATGCTGACACACGGACACATACACAGACAGTTCAATGCCACACCCACCTGTACACCTCTGTTGTGCGTGACCCGCCCAACCACACAACCACACACCCACCAGGCCGACAGCCTGCCTGCCGTCCTGCGACCGGACCCGAAAGTCAAGAGGGCTGACACACACACACACACACACACACACGCGCGCAGGAAGGGGACTCAATCAATGTGGGCGTGTGTGAATGGTGGTTGGTTGAGAGCCTAGCCTGCCTCACTTACAGGAGTTTTTCCCTGTAGGAGCTGAATCTGGAGTAGTCGGAGAAGGTCACGCCACCCGAAAGCTCACCAAACCACTTGGTGTTCATCAAGTACCGCCCGAACAACCGCGGAAATGACAGCCGGCCCTACAGAACAGACCCCCCCCCCCCCCCCCCCC